AAAATTCCACATTTCCACTTTTGTCGACGACAATTCGAGCTCGATTCAAGCTGAATTCGACCTCGATTTCTTTTTCGCGCCTTCTGTCGAATCACGCGCCTAACGCCGTCGACATATAACCATTAGGCATTAAATTATTTCAACAAAATTGTACGACCTTTTTTTTCTTATTTTCACAAAATCCTTTTTTTCATAAATCAGTTTTACCAACTCATAAAAACCCCATTCTCACGGTTAGCGTATGACCTACGGCTGGCTGTATCCGAGGACCACTACCAAGGAAACTCCTGCCGGTAAAACATAAAGAGCCTCATATATTTGAAAGTAACTCACATAAAAAAAGAATGTTAATACACTATACAGCTTGATTTATTTGCTGAAAACATTCCGAAAAAGGGGATAGATGAAAATCAGTAACCGGGATCGTCGAATTAACAGAAAAAAACATTATGAGCGAAACGCCCGACAAGAAAGTTGATGCGCACTTCATGGTGCTCAAGAGAGGACATGACCTTAGACCATGTGCCGCAGGCTAGGGGACGATAACAACCAAACCAATAGGGCCGCGGGACACCTGCATCATCAGGGGAGCACATTCGCCGTTTTTCGCAGGAATCACTAAAGGTTTATTTTCAAACAATTAACCCAATTTTAAAAATTTATATATTCAACACTTTTGAAGGCATGATATGCTCCCTGTGGTGATGGGTGCTCCAAGGGACGACTACTGTGCTCTTGCTCCACCGAACTCATTTATTCATGTGGATGACTTCAGTTCGCCCGCGGAACTGGCCAAATATCTAAATTGGCTCGACTTAAATGACACCGCCTATGCATCGTACTTCGCATGGAAGGACTATGGAAGAATTATGGTAAGAGCAATTGCTACAGTTATGTTCAAAAACTATTAGTTATATTTTATCAGCACACTGACTTTTCGCCGTCACATCCGCTAACGTCCACAACCACCACCACCACCACCGCCACCACCAACACCACAACCACCACCACCAACCGGTCATGTTCCAACCTCCACGCGGTACCAGGTCCACTGGACGTCGACTTCCAAGACGATGTCTACGAATGGAACTTACAGGATCAAACCCCAATGACATGCAAGAAGTGCGCCGAAAGAGGACCGCCAAATTTTTGGAGTCGGGAGCCGAAGCGTCAGCAGCGGTCTCTCGATACCAGGAAGCTGGCTGGTGGCCTAGAAGGCGTTTGGAGCTTTCAGGAGACGTAGAAATGAATCCAAGACCCAGGTGGCCTTGTCCTGGCTGTAGGAAGTCAGCACACAAAGGAAGTTTCCAGTGCGAGTTTTGTGGAGCTTGGGAGCATCTAAAGTGCTTAAAGATGACAGTAGGGCAGGACACATCCGCCAAGGAGAAGAATGAGATCCAGTGCCAGAGGTGCAGCGCAGAGACGTCGACCGCACCGGAACACCCCACGGGTACGAGTGGCCTTGCTCGTACGACTACGAGTGCTGGATATACCCATAGGACCTCCGCCGGATCCTCGCTCGACCATGCAGTGTTTCCCGCTCACTCGCATCAGCCACTTGCAGGGACCCCAGTGTCTTCCTCATCCCTCTCAGACGCATCCACCAACCTCAACAGAAAATACTGCTGCAACTGTGAGGCGACTATAGCGGGTAACATCATACAATTACAGTGTTCTAACTGTTCTGCTTGCTGCCGTAAATCATGCTTTGGTATGACCCGTTGGAAACTCAAACAAGTAACAAAAGAACATGGAGAATGGAGGTGCGCTGAACATGGCGGACCGACATCCTTTGCGGCAACGATGAAGGCAGTCAGACGAATGACCCCCAGGCCAAAAATGACACATGAACGCGGCCGAAGAACGTATACGGCTCCAATCAACTGGGATGAAGAAAATAAAATGATTCGGCTAGAAAGAACAACCCTAGTGAGATTTAGGACCGGACATTGTCGAAAGCTGAATCACATCAGGAAGCGGTAAAATCTGACGGATGACTCTACGTGTGCAGCTTGTGGGGAGGATGAGACCAACGAACACCTGATGGAATGAGCAGCCGAGATGGTCGCCAGAGTTCAGGAGTTTGGTTTTGACTACAGACTGAGAGCGCCGATTGACCTAACCTTCCGAAGACCCTCTGCCACGGTCCGGTATCTGAAGAAGATCCGGAAGTCGGGGTTCTAAAGCCATTTTCCTTGCAATTGATCCTGCAACAACAACCACCACCATCATCGAGGAGCGTTAAGGTTTCTCAGGTTTAACCCTAACGGCTGCGATTTTCCAGGCCCGGTTCCTTAGGATAAGAGAGAAGTCATGGGAAGGCCAGAGTAGAGGTAAGAGTGTATTCTGTACAGACAGAAAAGAGAACAGTTGGGAGAAGTGTAACTCCGGACTAGTGCATCTGTTCCTTTGCGGGTCGAGTCGGGAGTGTGATCGAGCGGCAGTAATCCTGGCGGCTGCCGAAAGTTGTCCCTGTTTCTGCTACTCATGTCTCTGATGACGAATCCGCGACGGATATCGAAA